GAATCTCCAGTGGTATTTTTTTTTAAGTATTTAAGGAAAAAAGAAACTATACCACTTTAAGACTACTACTTTTTATATTTGCTTAGATAAATTGCGCAATTCAGTGTTTACAAGGGTCAATCTAATCATTGCTGGAAACTCTTTTTTTTTCCATGTGAGCCATGACAGATTTCTAATACATTCAGTTTTTGGTTCTGAACTGACATTTGAAAAACTACTAAGACTGTCTACAGAATACAACTGCTGGCATAGTGCTGTCAATTAAGTTAACACCATATTGCACTCAACTGCTTGATGGTACCATGTAGACCTGCATTTTAAATTTCACTCTGATCTTTAAAATCAGAAAAGTTTCCATTAACAGTATTACAAGAACTACTGACCTTTTCTTTTTTTCAACACCATTTTTTTCAAATGTCATTAATCTCTAAAGGTCTCAAAACTAATGACAAGACTGCCATCTAGTGCTTTATGACTGTTCCTTTAACATTTTTGAGAGAATGAGAGCCCTCTGTAGAGATGAGCTGAACAGTGTGGTAGCCACTATCGCACATGGCACATGACTAATTTAAACTGAGATTGTTCTAAGTATAGAATGTAAATAGAAACTGTATTTCAAACACTTAATTTGAAAAACACCCAAAGTTATCTCATATATGATTTTTATACTGTTACATATTAAAAGGATATTTTTTAGATATGTTGACATAAGTAAATTATATTATGAAAATTAATTTCACCTGTTTCACCTTTTTAACGTAGCTAGTAGAAAATTTTAAATCACATATGTGGTTCACACTATGTTCCCATTGGACAGCACAGAGCCAGAAGAAAAACAATCTTAGTCTTGAACATAAAAGGCTTAAATATTAGTATATTTCTTATTTCTAAAAACTGGAATATAAGTTTGCATAACTGTAACTAGTTACTCCTTTGGGACACAAGAAAAGCTAAAGATTCAAAAAGAAGAAAGGAAGAACTTCTAATTAAAAACATCTGACAAAAATATGTCTCCTTAACATCCACGATGTTTGAAAGAAGAAAAGCAAAATAAATGTGGAAAAGATAAAGAACAAAGCTAATTTGAAAGCCACAGAATATAGATAATTTGAGTATCAGTAAGGATAATAACTGATAATGGACTGAGAAATGTTAAGTATTTATGAATTCGTATGTTTCACACACACACACACACACACACACCCTTGTTGTCACCTTTGAGAGATACTGAACAAACAATGCCTTGCTTTGAAAACTGGTAGATTAAAAGAAAGTCTATAGCATTCATCATGCCTTCTCTATATGAACTCTAGCAATGAGTAACCAAATGTCGGATGAGAGGAAATTTGTTTTACAAAAGAGTCCCAGTGAAGAAATAAAAAAAAAAATGGAATATCACAATTTTGCAACCCCTGATCAATTAGAATCTAGAGGCTGAGCATCAGTGTCTGCTAAAGACCCAAAGAGAGACGAGCAGCCATTATGGGCTTCTACAAGATAAAGAACACAAAACCACCTATGAAATAGTGTTCTGTCTCAAATCAAATCTGAAACTGATTACACCTCTATCTGGGTTTTTCATCCTCAACATGACTGCAGCCAGGAGCCAGATACTCTGAGCCCTGAGGCGGCTGCCTTGCGCACTTCAAGGTGTGCACCAGCATTACGGCCTCGCCCACTACGTGCTCATAGGACCGTGCCGCATGCCCAGTTGTGACCACCTAACACTGTCAAAGGTCCTATAAGCAAGAAAAACACTTGAATGAGATCTGGGATTTCATGTGCCACATTCTCAATAAAATTAGAGAAATAATTACAAAATGGTTTTCAAAATATCTACTTAATTAGAAATTTTAAAAATTCTTACATATACCTACAAAAAGATAAGAATTGAACCATAAACTATGTTGAAAATAATTTAATAAGAAAAATACAACAAATGTAAGCAAAACAATGATTTTTAAATTACTAAGGATAAAATCTGACTTTGATGAAATAGAAATCAAAATTAGTGGAAAGAATAAATAAACCCAAAATCTCATGCTGTAACATGGTGATAAATAAATAAGATGAACCAAAAACTACAAAAAAAAGCACCATACCCAGAGATTTTGGTGGAATTTAGCTAATCATTGAAGTTCACTTAAGAATATTTTTAACTATTCCTGTTTTAAAGAGAGATAACAATCTTCTCAAATTCATTTCAAAAGCTATCACCATAGTAACACAATATGAAGATAGAAAAAAAAGGCTAAAAAATTAGTCAAAGGTCATTTCATTAGAAAAAGTAATGTCAAAATATAATCTATGGCCCTGGCCAACCGGCTCAGCGGCTGGAGCGTCAGCCTGTGGACCAGAGAGTCCCGGGTTCAGTTCCCACTAGGAGCGCATACCAAAACAAAACAAAACAAAAAAATATATATATAGTCTATGTTCATTTATACTGAAAGTAATCTTAAGTTAAATACAAACAAGTAATATTTAATGGCATTTCATATAATGCCATGACTATGTTTGGTTTAATCCAGAATGAAAAGATGTTCAACATTAGAAAATTTATTAATGCCAACTTCACATTTAACAAGGTAAAGGAAAAAGACATTTATGATTAAATCTTAAAGCACACTGCCCTGGCCAGGGTGGTTCAGTTGGTTGGAGTGACATCCCATATACTGAAAGGTTGCATGTTTGTTCCCCAGTGGGGGCAACTAGGGAAAGGCAACCAATTGATATTCTCTCTCACATGGGTGTTTATTTCTTTATCTCTCTCTCTCCCTCTCTCTCTCTCTCTCTCCCTCCTTCCCTCCCTCCCTTCTCTTCTCTCTAAAATCAATAAGCATATCTTCAGGTGAGGATTTATAAATAAATATATAAGAGTAATAAATCTGAAGCACACTAATATAAATACATAAATAAGAATTCTCTGAACTCAATTCAGGAAATATTCCAGAAATTATATCAAAGTCTCTACTTGATTATAATATTTACTACCATCATTTTGATTCAATACTGAAATAGAGATCCCAACACAAATTAAAAAAAAAATTGGTAGGGAGGAAAAAACTGTCCTTATTTGCATGCAATATAATTAACTACACTTAAAAATCAAACACATCTGTAATATTAGAATTAATAGTTGATGAATATCAGGTCAATGTACTAAAATAAATCTTATTTTTATATGTCAAATAGAAAATATAATTTTTAAAAATACTAATTAAAAAAGCAACAAAAGTATTATAAAATTACTATTTTACACACCTAACAAAACATGTTTGAAGCATGGACACATGAAATTGAGCTCAAAATTATCAGTCATACAAGGAATGCAAACTAAAACCACAAGATACTACTATATATACTCTAGCAGTCTTTTTGCTGTATTTTCTTAAGTGCATTTTTTTCCTACTCTGAAGAGTAAAATGACAATAGATCTTATTCTGAACATGGAACAAAATATAGAACCTGAGAAAACTCAGCTGGATTTTAATGTCATCTTTTCATTATAATCAAATTTGAACAACTACAATTTTGTGATAAATTTTTTACAGGGGAAAATTTTGTTATTATTAAAATGTTGCACAGATTTTGTATGAAAATAAACTTCTATTGGGTAATGATCTTACATGTGTCTTTAACTTTTTAAGAAACAACCAAACTATTTCCCAAATGGTTATATCATTTTACATTTCCACCAGTAGTGCATAAGTTTTACTTCTTCCAAATCTCTCGATAGCTCAAATGGTCAAATGGTTAGTCTTTATTTTAGGTGTCCTAGTAGGCGCGTAATGGTATCTAATTCTCACGTTATTGCATTTCCCTAATAATTAATGATATCAGCATTTCTTATGTGAATTTTTGCCATCTGTATATTTAATTTGATAAAGTGTGTTTAATTCCATTTCTCACTTGTAAATATTGTATTGGTTGTTTTCATATTATTGATATGAAAATGTATTTTATATATAAAAATATATATTTTGTATATATATACTTTATATATTTCAGATGAAATTCTTTGTCTCATATTTGATTTGCAAATATTTTCCCTGCTTTGTGGCTTGCCTTTTTACTCTATTAAGAATATTTTTTGAATGGCATTTTTAATTTAGATGAAGTTCAGCTTATCAGTTTGTTTTTTTTTTTTTTTGAGAGATCTTAGCCTAACCTAAGGTCACAAAGATTTTCTCCTATGTTTTCTTCTAGAAATTTTATATTTTTAGGTTTTCCATTTAAGTATATACTCCATTTTGAGTTAACATTTATATATATTTTAAGGGATGAGTCCATTTTTTTTCTCTGCATGGATATCCAAATGTTTTAGCAAAATTCATTTATGTACTATCCTTTAACCAACGAATTGCTTTGTACCTTTGTAAAAAATCAGTTGTCCATATATGTGTGTAAGACTATATAAAACTATTTCTGGACTTTCTATTCTGTTCCATTACTTTATTTGTTTACTTGTATGTCAGAACAGCACTGTTATGAATACTGTGGCTTTACAGTATGCCTTGAAATCATGTACTATTTATTCTCCAATTTTGTTCTTTCTTTTCATAATTATGTTGGCTATTCCATTTTGTGTTAACAAGATTTGAGAAAAACAAAAATGGTAACCTAATAATGACAATATATATGTATGTATGTTTGTATTTATTTATTTAGCTAATCCTCACCTGAGGATATTTTTCCATTGATATTTTTTAGAGAGAGTGGAAAGGAGAAAGGGAGAGAGAAACATCAGAGTGAGAGACACATCGATTGGTTGCCTCCTACAAGACCCTGACCAGGGCCAGGGATCAAACCTGCAACTCAGGTATATGTCCTTGACTGGGAATTGACATGCAACCCTTGGGTCTGCAGGCTGGAGCTCCAACCGCTGAGCCAAACCTGCCAGGGCAACTTAAATTATTTAAAATGAATTTTATTATCTGCAAAATTACCCAAAATTAATAATACAAACCAATAAATGAAAATGAAAAAATAAAAATACTTACAGTAACATGTTCCTCTAAGTGGATTACCAACATAACGATTTTCAGAGTCACATCTGTAGAAATAAAAAACTCATTTACTATTAAACGCCAAAATTCCAAAGCCTCCTGATTTTTAAACAAAGTAATTAAATTCTACATTAAAACAACTTTTAAAACTATAAAATTGACATTTTCAAAACAAATCTTCAAAAAAATTAATGTAAAAGGCCTATAAATGAACATGAGTGAGAGAAAAAAATAAGTGGAGAAGAAAAATACACAAGAGGAATACAGAAAATGTTGGGAGGCAGACGGGATAACTATTATAAGTTTTGAGATTTGTAGTCTTCATCAATAATAGGAGGAATTGAAAGTCTAAAGATACAGAGACATTTTTATGTATAGGAAGAAAGTTATGGGAATCTATAAATACAGATCATTTTCTTACTTCTGATATCTCTGAAACTGTAAAACAGAGATATAGCTTCATTTTGCCTAATGCTACTTCCTGGAACACCCTCTAAAATAAATTATTATAAAATGTATACAACAGGGTAATTAAATAAAGTGACTTATTATTTAAATTATATGTAAAACTTTTATAGGTGAGAAAGACTTTTTGAAAACGTCTTTAGTTTTAGTAGAGTTAATCAGAACAGAGAAACAATTTTAATTCATATAAATTTTAATTAATGAAGGGCCACACAGTTGAGAGTAATCTAAATAATCAGATTAAACACCAAATGCATTTTTCAGCCATGCATTTTACACCCATGCAAAAAAAAAAAAAAAAAAAAGAGTTGAAAAGTAAATCTTTTTCTACACTAACTACAACATTAAAGTAGAAATGTGATAGCTCTATATACCACTAACATTATTCTCTGTAAAACAAAGAATAAAGACATTACAGTTTGTCCAGCCAGTGTGGCTCAGTGGTTGACCATTGACCCATGCGCCAAAAGGTTGCCCGTTGGATTCCTGGTCAGGACACGTGCCCAGGTTGTGGGCCAAATCCCCAGTGGGGGGCATGCGGGAGGCGACCAATGATGTTCTCTCTCATCAGTGTTTCTATCTCTCTCTCCCTAAAATCAGTAAAGGGGAAAAAAATATATTAAAGTTAGGAAGTTAGGTTTTCTATGACTTCTCCAAATGCTACTTTTAAAATTGAAAGCTACAGTGGCTTTCAAGCTTTAGAATATCATACTCATTACTGCTGGGTTAATTATTTCAGAATCTATACTGTTCTTTTACTATTGGTCCTTCCTTTAGGCTTGCCTTCTGAAATTCCATCACTTAGTGCCCAGTATATACACACACATGACAGGACTGATCAGCAATACCATCATAATTCCTTCTGCTGTAGCAAAAAATAAACTTGACTTGTTGCAAATGGGTATCTCAATCCTACTTTTAGAAAAGGAAAATATTCAACATAAATATGCCCTGTGTTGTTATGCAGGGCAGTCCCTGTATATCTTACTTGCTAGACAGACAGCTTTCAAGATCCTGTAGTAATCTAAATCACTCATTTTATATCACTGCATTAACTAATGTCACCCCAATAAATTCAATAAACAAATAATTTTAAAATAAAATTACTTTGACAAATGGCAAGGAACGTAAATACTCTGCAATTGATCGATATGTTGACTTTAAGAGCTCTGGATACAAATCTAGTTTCCAATATGAAAATTACAAAGTTTTCATTTTTGTTAACAATATTTAGTTTATTCAAATTACGTAATATTATATTAAACTGAAAATTATTATGTTTACATTCGACATAATAAAATGTTTACAAAGGAATAGTTAGAAACAGATGATGTGTTGTAGAATTGTGCACCTGAAACCTGTGTAATTTTGTGAACCAGTTGCATCCTAATAAGTTCAATCAAAAGGAGAAAAAGAAAAAATAAACAAATAGGAGTGCAACAAACTAAAATGTTTTTGCACAGCAATGAAATCTATCAACAAAACAAAAGACAACCTACTGAATGGGAGAAGATATCCACTAATGATTCCTCTGATAAGGGGTTAATAATCAAAATTTATGAAGGACTCAATACCAAAATAACAAACAATCCAACTTAAAAATTGGCAGAGGGCCAGAAAAGACATTTTCCAAATGTCCAAAAGAGAACATATAGATAGCCAACAGACATATGAAAAGATGTTTAACATCACTATTTACCAGAAACATGCAAATTCAAATCACATTGGGATATCACCTCACACCTGTCAGAATAGTCATCATCAATAAATGAACAAACAATAAATGTTGGCAAGGATGCAGAGAAAAGGGAACATTCGTGCACTGTTGGTGGATTGCAAAGTGGTGCAACCACTGTAAAATAACAGTGTGCAGGTTCCTCAAAAAGTTGACAAAACATTTTCAATTTGGGGCAGTGTGAGGTGAAGAAGGGAAAACTGGAATCAAACTCGGAAATCCTTTTGGTAGGTTTGCTTACTGAATAATAATGACAAAGCAATTCTGAAACAATTCAAGTGTATTATATTATAAAATTGAGCCAATAAGGAATGTGTTAATGTCATGGGGTTAGTGTTTTTACTGAAAAAGATGACACAATTACTGAACTGGAGAAGGTTCACAAAAACCTTGTGGATGTGGACTGGAATCGGAAGTATGTGTATATGCATGCATATGTATATTTGTATCTGTATGTAAGTATTTCATATACCTGTACTTATGTGTATTTATCTGTGTACAGAAATGAGTATTTCCTAGCTCTGTCCACTGAACAGGCCACTAAGTAAAGGCACCTCGTAGCCAAGAGCACGTAGCACAAAGATCCTGGCCTCTATTATAAGTGATTCTCCACTGCAAGGAACCAGAGCTCTACCTAAGAAAGGTGGGGGCAGGAGGGATGGGGATGGGCTGATGAGTCAGGTTTGAGTTAGGACAGGTATAATAAGTTGTCACAAAATGATGGATGCATGTCACAAAAAAACAAGAGCCAGCTTAAAGTAATTCCCACTGGACAAATCTGGGAGAGTTTGAGTGCCAAGTGATGAACTATAGCAGTGAATTACAAATCCTTAGAAAAAATAATAATTCATGTGTTCATACCAATGAGAAATAAATGGTGGAGAAAGGAGAGCTCTTGCTTATAGCACAGTTTTGAGCACTTATTCATAAATAAAGAGATAGTATGGAAGTTGGTAATCATCATAGTAAAGACTGAGATCAGGCAAGAATAATCAATTTTTCCTTCTCATAACAAATGTCATGTCCAATCAGATAAGTTTGACTCAAGTTTAACCTAACCCACTCAAAAATGACAAAAAGAAGAGAGTAAGAAAGATTTCAGGTCTACTTGTCATTTCTAATCAAAATCCAATATCTTATTTACTAGTAAAGTAAATGCATTCTAATAGCAGAGTCACCACCCATAGAAACATATCTTCATTACAAGGGATGAAATTTCAAATAAATGTATACATGTATAAATTTATAAATGCACGTGTAAATGTATCACTTAGACCTAATGCTGTGCTATGCAAACAAATGACTGTCCTATCTCATTTCCCACATGCAAAAATCAATTGATAAAACCATTTATGCTAAACTATTTTAAATATAATCAGCTGATATACCGAAATGTTTAGCATAGTCATTATAGATTTTCATGTGACCAAAAATAATTGTGATCTGGAATCAAGACTGTTATAATCTTCAATTTCATCATAGACTTCTTAAATAAATCAAGATAAAAAATCAGGATGGAGGATCTCACACACAACTATTTTCAACAAAATGAGAAAATTATTACAAACAAAGGAAATTCTAAATTCTTAGGCAATTTTGCACATATGAACGTAAAATGATTAGATTAACAAAAAATGTTTTAAACTGTGTTTTATTCTGTAACAAACCACTGTGTTTAGTAAAATTTCTTTCTAGTCTGTTTTTTTAGAAAAGTCTTAATTTGCATTGTTGAAATTATTTTCCCATTCAAGAAAGTATATTTTCTCCTTCAAAGCCTGGAGAGATTCCCTCTATAGTTTGAAAACACTTAACGTGCTATATTTTGTTCACAAATATATAATTCGGTGAATAAAATAATAGCAATTGGACATATTTGTACTCGTCATCTAATACTAAGTAACAAACTACCACAAACTTAGTGACTTTAATCAACACAAATGCATTATCTCAGTTTCCATGGGTCAAGAGTCTGGCGCAGTCGGGGTCTCTGGTTCAGAGACTCAATGGGACCTCTGTAAGCAGCAAGGTGTCACGGGCGGGGTTCTCATCACAGGCTCCACTGAGGAGGTACCTACTTCTAAGTTCCTTCAGGTTGTGACAGGTTTTATTTCCTTGCAGCCACAGAACTAAGGGCCATTTCTTCTTATTATTGGCTGGAGGATACCTTAAGCTCCACTTACTTCTTAAGACAGAAAGGGGAAAGTTTTTAGAGCAAGTCTTCTAGCAATCTAGCAAGACACAGACTTAAAGCATCGTCATCAAAGTGACATACATCACCTTTATCACATATTGTAACACAATCACAGACTTGATCTTTGATCACCTTTGCCATATTTTCTGGTTTAAAAGCAAGTCACAAGTCCTGCCCATACTCAAGGAAAGGGAATTAAACAGCAGCATGAATACCAGAAGGCTGAGGTCATTGGTAGTCACCTTAGGATCCATCCATCATAATACTTTTGTTGTATGCAACATTTTCTATTATAAAATATATCAGTATATTTATGTGAGATATGAACGCTAATCTAATTCACATAATAAATAATTTGAGGAGTTAAATTATTCGATCAAGTTCAAACTCAGATAACAAGTAAGAAAACGTGAAGGGAAAAGTGTAGACACAAACAATGCTTTAAACAAATTAATTTTGCACCATGAGTTACATTAATATTTCTGATATGTAAGCTAAGTAATGGTTTTAAAATTCAGAATCCTTCTGTATAAAGATGAGATACAAACATTAAACGCCTTCAGAAGTCTTTGGCATGCCTTAATGAAAAACACCACTTCAAAGTACTCCTGCGTCTAAGCAAAGAGATAATCATTCTACATTCCCACTCAGCAAAC